TTTGACTTGTGCTAGCTCTGCCCCTGATCTGCCTCCTTGACAGTTATTATTATGATATTTATATAGCGCCATCAAATTCCGCAGCGCTTTACAATGGGTGGACGAACAGACATGTAGTTGTAACCAGACAAGTTGGACACACAGGAACAGAGGCCCTGCTCAATGAGCTTATATGCTAGAGGGAGTGGGGTAAAATGACACAAAAAGGTAAGGATAATATTAGACCAATCCTATAGGGAAGCATTGTGATTGGCTGAGACCACCACTTCTGATGATGCCAGGAGATAGAGGCAGTTCAGAGGCAGAGCCAGGAGCTGCAGACTTGAACACAAGTAAGATTTCATTATATTTAGGGAGGCAAGAGGTGGCCAAGGGGGCAAGATGGTGGGTTTAACACTGTTGGGTCAGCAAAATGGCACTGTTTTACCTTGAAGGGTTAAAATGAAAAGTACCACTGCATCCAGAACACTTCATTGAGATTGTAGTTTCAATATTTTTACAAACTTATATTTTGTAATTCCTTCCTTTATATTGCAATACCATCCTTTAATATGATCTTTCATAAAATCGGTTCAAGAAAATATATACTTTAAAAAGATGACCTACAGCAGGTGTAAGCAATCTTTGGCACTACATTTGTATATTATAATAATAATAATAATAATAATGCTCATACAGCCATTATTTTGGCACGACATCTGGAGTGCTCAAAGTTGTCTACCTCTGTTCCCATTGTTGCTCTACACAAAAACTTGACTTGTAAAAGTGTGGAAACTCTACCAACAAGGAGGTAGAGTGAAGCTTATTCAATTTACTTTCCAGGTCAAGTCTGGCACCCCAGTTCCACATGATGTGCTGAGTGTGTGTAATAAGCATTTACAGCTTATTACAAGATACACTATATGGACAAAAGTATTGGGACACACTTCTTGAATTCAGGTGTTTCCATCAGACCAATATTTCTACAGGTGTATAAAATCAAGCACCTAACCATGCAGTCTGCATTTACAAACATTTGTGAAAAAAAATGGTTTTCTGTTTATATTATTAGGTATGCTGCCCTACTCAAACAAGCATACACACTACACACACTGCATTCATTATATACACATACACACGGCAATTAATATACACACTACACAATCTGCATTCACTATATACACACACACACACACACACATTAACTACACACTCACTGCATTCACTATACACACTAGCTACACAAACACTCTCTGCATTCACTATACACACACACACACACAACGCAAACACTCTGCATTCACTATACACACTACACAAACACTCTGCATTTATTATATATATACACACACACACACACACACACACAGCTCCCCTGTCTAAACACACTGCATCCACTACATTTGGCATATATATTTTTTGCATTTACCTTTAGAAATAGTTTATTTTTTCAAAATGGTAAATGTACAGAATATCGGTAAATTATCAACAATCAGCCTGAAAGTTCACAGATTATCGGTATGGGCTCAAAACAAAAAAACAATATCGGAAGAATTTTACTCCTCGCTATACAACCTGAGACAGACCTCTCCAGATGCAGCAGACATCCAAAACTTTCTCTCCCACAGGATACACAATACTCTACCACATAATATCCGGGACTCGCTAGAGCACCCCATCTCAAAAGACGAATGTCTACAAGCAATAAAACACCTACCATTAGGGAAGAGCCCAGGACCTGATGGGCTGACAGCCAAATATTACAAGACATTCGCCTCCTTATTAGTGCCCCACTTTCAAAACTCTTTCAACGCGCTACTTAACACAAACACCCTCCCCCCACAAGCCTTAAACGCAACAATCACACTACTTCCTAAGCCTGGGAAGGATCCGACCAAATGCGGCAGCTACAGGCCGATCTCCTTGATAAACATAGACCTGAAGTTGTTCACAAAAATTCTAGCCAATCGACTTCGCCCACTATTACCAGGACTGATACACGCTGATCAATCAGGTTTCATCCCAAGCGGAGAAGCCAAACATAACACCACGAAATTACTGAACCTCATACACAAAGCCACGAGAGGGAACTGTCCCAGTCTACTCTTGTCCATTGATGCGGAAAAAGCGTTTGACAGGGTAGATTGGACCATGCTATCTCACACCCTACAATACATGGGATTTGGCCCAAACTGGCTAAAATGGTTTAACGCGATTTACTCACAACCCACGGCTAATATTCGCGTCAACGGTCAACTGTCAGAGCCAGTAAAAATAACGAATGGCACTAGGCAGGGATGCCCTCTATCACCTATACTGTTCGTCTTGGTCCTGGAGCCCTTCCTTCAGGGAATCAGGGACAACACTCAAATTAGAGGCATCGAGGCAGGCAAGACAGAGCATAAGATTGCAGTGTTTGCAGACGACATGCTCTTTACAATTTCAGATCCCATAGCATCAATACCTCACCTGATGGCTGAGATGGACTCATACAGCAAGATTTCCAATTTCAAGGCAAATCTCAGTAAATGCGAGATACTGCCATTACACGTTACCCCTCAAGATAAGGCCTCTCTACAACAAGACCACACATTTATCTGGGCTTCCCGCAGTATAAAATACCTAGGAATTCACCTAACCAAAGAGGCATCCCACCTGTTCGGGAGCAACTTCCCGGACTTGATGAAGAGCATAAACTCGGATCTCAATGCCTGGAACAGACCTCAATTTGGTTGGTTCTGCAGGCTGAACATCCTATGAATCCATGTTCTACCGAGAATACTATATATCCTGCAGATACTGCCAATCATGCTGCCGAAATCATGGTTTGCGCAGGTTCGAAAAACATTTACAACATACATTTGGGCGCACAAAAACCCTTGGCTCGCATACTCACTCCTCACGAGATCAAAAGACGAAGGAGGCCTGGGCCTCCCCGACATAGAGAGATATCACCAAGCTATCCTCCTGACTAGATTATATGACTGGACACGCCCACATTCCGCTACACAATGGATAAATATAGAGGATACCTTCCTCAGAGCACCCATCTACACAATACCATGGCACAAATCCGGACAGTCGCTCTTACTACACGCACCCCATCCTACCATCTCACCAACCCTACGTATGTGGGCAAAAATGAGAACACATCAATCGATATCCCCATACCCCTCACCACTTTATCCACTCACCCACAATCCTTTATTCCAACCGGGAGAGGATGGTAAGGCATTCAAACATTACCAAAACTCGGCCTATCTCCCACTCGAAGCCATCAAATCAAACCCCTGCATGCCATCACGGATAGACAAAACTCGATACAAATTCTTCAGTATCGACAGCTCACTCACTTTGTACAAGCAGGTCCGCTAGCCAACGAACCACTCCGCACACATACACAATTTGAACAAATGTGCAAAACCCACACCTTAAAGAGAAAACTCATCTCAGTGATGAACACAACAATTGCAAAGACCCAACCCCACCACACACCGGTGTTCACTTCGTCATGGGAAAAAGAACTAAACATTTCACTCTCACCTGAAACATGGCGTACTATCTTTAAACAAATTCACAGATCAGCTCGAAACACTATAATCCAAGAGATTAACTACAAAAGAATAGCGAGATGGCATTATACCCCGACAAAGCTAACATCCCACTTCCCCTCCCACTCACCCCACTGCTGGAGATGCCACGCACCCAAAGGTAACACAGCACATATTTGGTGGAGTTGCTCAGTAATCAATCGTTATTGGAGACACATTCATGGAATATTACAAATCAGCCCTAAACATCCATATCCCACTCACCCCTGAACTCTTTATCTTTATAATTCCCCCCCGAAACATACCTAAACTGACAACAGACCTCCTAATTTCCTTAATATCTGCGGCGAACCAACTCATACCAGCTATGTGGAAACACCCCAACGCACCCTCCATTCGAGAATGGATACAAAAAGTCAAAACGACGAGAGGCCTAGAGGAAACTTGCCACTCCCTTGCAGGTACATTTCTCCATCACAAAACCGTTTGGCAACCCTGGTGTGACTATCTCAAAAACAGCTTAATATAACCAATGAGACATTGACACATCTAGGCTCAGCCTTCCAATACCTGGTCCACCATGTACCACCCCCCCCCTCACCCAGACACATGGGAAATTATCACGGTAGTCAAGGCTTCTTCAGATGTCATATCTAATTTGCACCACGATACATAACCAATGAGGTATGCCTGGGACTCCAATGATCCGACAGTGGCCTGACCCCGTGCCCTATAAAGAACTAGTATGCGCAAAACACGTTTTCCCTGCTGTAACACTGTAATGAGATACAATTTCAATGCTACCCATTGTACTGTCATACATTGATTCATTGTTTTGTACATTAGACCTTTCTTTTTCGACAATTTATTGTAAATGTGCAGAATCTCAATAAAAACTTTCAAAAAAAAAAAAAAACAATATCGGTTGATCCCTACACTCATAGTTTTCCTTTAACCAAGGAAGAAAAAAAAAGAAAAAAGATAAAAATAGAAACCAAGTCAACAAAACCAAAAGTAATTTTCCCAATGTCATACACATTTAGCAGAGGATGGTCATTTCCCATGATCTTTAATATTATGTTTACTCATCCCCTATATTTAGCAAATATGTGTTTGTGATGTCTAAAAACAAAACAGGATTATATGTAGAATTCCATACTGCGGTATCTACTGCGCTATTCAGTCCTGAAACTGGATACCTCCATCTTGGCACAGTGAACAGCATTGTCCCAGGTTGCACCTCTAGTAGCAATATGAGGAGTGGCCACTGGAGGTATCCCGAGGCTGCAATGTAAAAACTGCATGTTCTCTGAAAATACAGTGTTTACAGCAAAAAGCCTAAAGGCAATGATTATACTCACCATAATAAAAAAAAAAAAAGCTGCAGTTGTTCTGGTGACTATAGTGTCCCTTTAAATAATTCTGAAAGAAGATACAGTGTCAAAAGTAAAAATAATAATAAAACACAAGTTATATGTAATTTTCAATGTTTTATTTGATGTTTCATTTCCAGAGAAGTGACCGTTCCTCTTTAAAAAGAGTTCGAAATACAAAGGTCACTTTTTTTGGGAGAGGGTGGCGGGGGGGGAGGGGGGAGGAGGGAATAGTTCAAATTGACAACATCCCGGTATATGCTACAGAAGCAGTTACACTGCACAGCAAAGGAAATAAGAAATACATTTGTTACATTACTAGTTGGTAGGCACTGCCCCCTTCCCATGATTCTTTGCATCCTAGACATCATCTTCCCATGATGGTGCTTTTGCAAATACACACTCAAAGCATGACAAACAAAATAGAATATTGGTAATTTGAAGAGTTTGCAAGAACAAAGGCAAACAAATAAAATACAATTAATAACTACCTATTGGATACCTATTAGAATTTGCAATTAACTCCATAGGTGCAGTACCTATTTCAATGAATAAAACATGTTTTCTCGAATGACAATGTAGAGTGTATGTATGTACCACTCCCAAACACCACAAGTTGGTCTTGAGATTATTACAGGGGGCAATGAGGTGGTTAGAAGACTACAGCAACCAGGACAACCTAACTACCAGAAGGATTGTCTGAAATTACAGCAGTGCATGGATTCCTCAGATGTCCGCCAATACAAATTAACAATGGAAAAGTCACTATGGAATTAAGGGATGCAGGTTTAATCAGGACAATATGCAGAGGTTTATTCACCAATGTCACGGTTGGCACAAGTGCGCACACAATGTCGTAAAGCTGAACTATTATATTGGGTATTTAGTGATATTCCTCCAGTGTTCACTTCAAGCTAAAGTGAAGAGCCACCAGCACACACTCAGATCAATATAAAAATGCTTAACCCAAGTCCTCAGTAAAGTCACTGGAGGCCAATCAGGAAAGTTAAAGCAGTTTGATTATCTGAATTAAACAAATGTTTTCACCTGAGTGGATTAAAGTTTAAAACTGAATCTAGCAGAGTACCTAAATTGTTTGTCTGTACGACCATACAAGCGCTTATTTATTTTTAATTTTTGCCATGAATTAAAAAGAAAAAAAAACATCATCAAGAATGACTGGCATGTATTTTTATATATATATGTACAGTTTAACAGAGCCATCATCCAATCCGCTCTTTAAAATGCATGGCAATTAGGAAGTAATTATATTTTTCAATCATGCTTTAGTAAAACAAAAAACCCTTGTAGAAAAAGGAAATGCATTGGGCCACATTCCTTGCATCTTAAAGCAAGTCACACTTTCAAGTATCATGGAATGTCCAGTGCACTGACAGAAGTCTAAAACCTATTTAATCAATTTACATTATAGGATCCTAAACATGTTCTGATTGCATTCCTCAAAGAAGCCCTATTTTAGGAGGTTTTCGGTCAGCCTCAGATCTGGAGGTACGGAATATGTCCCTTTCCCCATGCCAAGTATAGCACACAATCCACAGGATATGAAGTCAGCAGCTAAGAGATGGGAGACACTATAAAATAAAAAATATATGATTGAAGGATTGTGAGAAGAGGTTCTCTTTCCCCTATAGAAACGCACTGGGGTTTGCACGTGGATCTTTTTGGTTTCTGTAGCGAAATGCAAGCCATACGCCAAGAATCTGAAAAAGAGAAAATGTAGATTATGCTATAAAAACCTTGCTATAAAAGACAGGTCACTTATTTAAAAACACCACATCAACAAAACATTTGGGAAAAATAAACATTTTCAATTCAAAAGTCACTGTGCTACATTAAAACATAATGTGAAATATGTTTAACATGGTCTATTCAGAAATCATGTTTTTCTAAGCTTGGAAAAAAATTGTCAAAATAAAATCAGAAACTTTAAAAAAAAAAAAAAGATTTTTTTGTATTTTTGTTGAGCAGTTGTTTGTGGTTACAAAGTTGAAAAAAAAAAAAAAACATCACCTCCAATTTAGCAAGGTTGGATACTTTCTCCCAATTCCCTTTTTGGTTGGATAGTCACCTTCTAATGCTCTTTAAGCCCTTAACCCCTTAAGGACACAGCTTCAGAAGCTTGACTTACGCTTAATGACACAAGCAATTTTTGCATTTTCTTGCTGTTTGCGTTCAACTGCAATTTGCATCTCTCTCATTTATTGCACCGACACATATTATATACTGTTTTTTAAAGGACAGAAAGGGCTTTAATTTGATATAACATATATATATATAAATGCTTACTTATTATAAAAAAAATACAGAAAAATGCAAAAAAAATGAAAAATATTGTTTTTTTTTACAGTTTTTGCAATAATAATGTGTGCATAATTAGTGCAGGTTAAGGAAAGTAATTAAAAATAAATTTATTTATTTGTTCTGATTTACAGAATATATAATGTGTCTGGGATTTTAAGTTTTTTTTGGTAGTTACAGGTCACAAAGCACAAGGAGTAAAATAAAATTTTAATGTGGAGCGATTTTAGAATTTGGTATGTTTGTCTTGTAAGCTTAATAGCCATAAAAGAAAACAAAATTGCCACACAAAAGTATATATTTATATAAAGTAGACATCATGGGCTATTTACCTAAGGTTGTTTTGACACTTTCTACGTAGCCATATTACCGCCAACCTCTGCTAAATATTGGAGTAAAATTGTGTTCTTTTTGGTTTTTGGCACACAAACTTATAACAGAGAAATTCTCGTGTATATTTTGTAAAGTTGGTGTGTGCTATTCCTGTACAAAGTTTTATTTTGTGTTCAGTTATATCTGCTGAGTAAAATGACACCCCCATTGTATGTCTTTTGCACTATTTCGTGAAGTTACAGTGCCATACAGGATACCTGTCCTTTTCAGTATTCACAGTAGAATTTTGAGAGATGAATTTAATGAGCCTTAGCTTCCATTTGGGGTATTATAACAGTTTGACTGTTCAAAAAAACCCCCACAAAGGCCTACCATTTGTAAAAGTAGACACTCCAGGGTATCTTATAAGGTGCATATTGTGCCTTAACATGCCCCCATTTTTTCACCAATATATGCCAAAGTATGTGGTAAAAAAAAATTTTGTGCATTTTTTACATACGGATTGCATTTTTGCTGGGCGTTTTGTATATTTCATATGTGCCACTAAGTTCAAACCCCCCAAATTATGCTCAGCTAAGTCTTCTGAGTAAAATGACACCCCATATGAATGTCTTTGGCACTATTTCGTGAAGCTACAGTGCCATATAGGAGACCTGTCCTTTACAGTATTCACAGTAGAATTTTGAGAGATGGATTTAATGAGCCTTAGCTTCCATTTGGGGTATTATAACAGTTTGACTGTTCAAAAAACCCCCCACAAAGGCCTACCATTTGTAAAAGTAGACACTCCAGGGTATCTCATAAGGTGCATATTGTGCCTTAACATACCCCCATTTTTTCACCAATATATGCCAAAGTATGTGGTAAAAAAATTATTTTGTGCATTTTTTACATATGGATTGCATTTTTGCTGGGCGTTTTGTATATTTCATATGTGCCACTAAGTTCAAACCTCCCAAAATTATGCTCAGCTAAGTCTTTTGAGTAAAAATACACCCTCAATGAATGTCTTTGTCACTATTTTGTGAAGCTACAGTGCCATATAGGAGACCAAGCCATATCCGTTTTTACCAAACTTTGAATTTTGACGCTGGGCCTATGTGCAATTTCCAAGCATCTTCGCGGGTTTTAAATTCAATCTACCCCACAAAGGCCTACCATTTCTTAAAGTAGACACCCCAGGGTGTTTCAAAAGGTATAGTTTGAACCTTAGCGTGGGATCATTTTTCCGCTAGCTTGTACCAGATGTAGTGGTAATAAGCGTTTTTTCTGCCTTTTTGACATACAAAGTGAGTTTGCACAGTATATTTTGCAAACCTTATGTGTGCTACGACTGTATAATACTTCATATGTTGCTCAGCTATGTCGGCTGAGTACAGCAATACCCCCGTATGTACCTTTGCCAGGTATGTGTGGACATCGGAGGGGCACATTTGGGACACAGCCATTCCAGTTTTTTTCAAACTTTGAATTTTTATGCTGTGCCTATGTCCCATTTTAGAGTATTTTACCAGGCTATATAATCCAAATTCCCCATAAAGCCATACCATTTCTTAAAGAAGACATCCCAGGGTATTTCAAAAGGCATATTTTGAACCTTAGTGTGGGATCATTTTTCCGCTAGCTTGTACCAAGTGTAGTGGTAATAAGCATTTTTTCTGCCTTTTTGACATACAAAGTGAGTTTGCGCAGCATATTTTACAAACCTTATGTGTACTATGACTGTATAATACTTCATATGTTGCTCAGCTATGTCGGCTGAGTACAGCAATACCCCCGTATGTACCTTTGCCAGGTATATGTGGATGTTGAAGGGGCGCATTTGAGACGCAGCCATTCAGTTTTTTTCTAACTTTGAAGTTTTACGCTGTGTCCATGTTCCAATTTGGAATAGTTTAGACGGTTGGTTATTGAGACTTCCCCACAAACACATACTATTTATTAAAGAATACACCCTGGGGTAATTCAAAAGGCATATTTTGAACCTTGGCGTGGGATAATTTTTTCTCTAGTTTGCTCCAGGTGTAGTGGTAATGAGCGTTTTTAAAATGTATTTTTTTACTTTTTATAACTTTTTACTTTTAAAAACTAGTTTTTAAACTTTTGTTTTGCTTATAAATTTTTTTTAAACTTTCCTAAACTTTCTTAAAACTTTTTTACAGATTTAACATTTTTCTAAGCTATTTTTTTTACTGTTAACCCCTAACTAGCAGTACGCAGCACTAACAGTAAATTCCCCATTTTCCCATAACTCCCACCCACCCCAGCTAGCAAAATATATAGTTATAAAATATTTAAATTAATTAAATAAATTGAACCCCTGAGGGTTAAAAAAAATAAATAAAAGTTAATCCTCAGGGGTTAAAAAAAATTAGATCACAGTATAATACTGTGATCTCTATTTGATCGCTGTAGGCAGTGATCGACTGGCAGGGAAGGGGTTAATTTTTATTTGGACTAGGTAAAGTGTGTTTTTTTGTTTTTATTACTTAAATGTTATTAAAATATTTTTTTAAGCTTAATTTTTAACTTTTTAAAGTTTCTTTTAAAACTTTTTTTTAACGTTAACCCCTAGTTAGCCTAACGTCAAATCCCCCAATTCCCCACTAACTTCCACCTACCCCAGCTATCTAAATATATAATTTAAAAATAATTTAATTAATTAATTTAATTAATTTAACCCCTGAGGGTTAAAAAAAAAAAAATTAACCCTCAGGGGTTAAAAAAAAAAATCAGATCATAGTAAAATGTAATCCCTGCCAATTGATCACTGTAGTCAGTGATCAATTGGCAGGGAAGGGGTTAATTTTTTATTAAAATGGGTAAGGGGGGACTTTAAATAAACTTTATTTTTTTTTACAGCAGGGGGCAGGATCAGCACTGATCCGGCTCCCTGCACTTCACACAGAACCCGGAAGTGCAGGGAGCCGGTAGGTGAGTATACAGAGCACATGTGCTCGCTCAGACTTGTGGTCAGAGCGAGCACATGTGCTGGGCAGCTTGACCGGGTGCTCCCGGTATGCCTCTAATGCAGAGGCATACCGGGAGCACCATTAACCCCGCGATCGCCGCGATAGCGGCGATCCGGGGTTAATTTTACCGCGTGACGGACGAGGTCCGTCACCCGTCGTTAAGGGTCTCCCCTGTGTGACGGACCTCGTCCGTCACCCGTCCTGAAGGGGTTAAGGACTGAGCCAATTGTACAAGTTGGGATCAAAACAAAACGTAGACAAAAACTGGAATTTGCGCTATATGTCTGTTCAACCATAATTCCCCTCTTTTCATATAAAGCGCACCCACACTTATTATATATAATTTTGTTCACAAGAAACAGGGCTTTAATTTCACATGAACTATTTATTTTTTTTTTTTTTTTAAATGCTTTATTTTTGTTGTGCATGTTATACATAGCAATGTCATACGCCACAACAGCGTGTCTAAGAATGTACTTAAGTTGAACAGTGGCAAGAGGAATTGCACATTTTTATATAATTCTAACAAATATCAGCTTTGCGAAACAGTGAAGTCATTAAAATAAAAATGAAAAGGTAGCTTATCATAGCAGTTACAACTGAATATATCCTCGCTAGTGTCACGAGTTAACTAGCTGTGAGTACCATAAAATAACATATGAACTAATTTGATACAGGTTAGGTCTGATTCAAAAAGCACATTGCTATGTATATTACAGTAGATTAGGTTCTCGTTTAGGTAGGTTAAGGCTTTTCTACTCTGTGTGACACTAGTATGCTTTGTGGTTATCGCTAATCTTGACTGCTAAACAAATGAACTTAGATCAGATAAATGAGAGTCCCAACGTGTGAGTGTGTGAGGCTTATGCGCTAGTACTCCGACCTGCCTCATGGTTGAGGGCCAGTGCTTCGCTGGTGTGGTGGTTTAAGCCAATTCCCCGCTTGCATGTGAGTGTTATGGCCGGAGAAGGTGTCTGACTGGGAGCCTCAGGGGCGCAGTGGGTGGTCAGTAAGGTTCCGCTTTGGGTCTCTGCAGTCTCTTGTGTGTGTTCCCAGCCTGGTGAGTGCTGGCCTTAATGAGGGTTGCGAAGGGGTAGTCCCTGCTGGTGGGTAGGACAACTCACCACTGGTCTAGGTCTGTGGTTTAGAGGTTTGTGTCGGGTCGTCCGCCGCCTCCTTCCCGCCCTCAGAGTTTCACCAGTGCCCCGGTCGAGAGCCGCAGGTCTCCAAACGTCTGCTCTTTGGGACGTTGCTGGTGGGGTCTCCTCTTTGGTGCCCCCTTGTTGATAAATTTTTGCCCAAAAGGCAGCAAATAGGCGATCCAGCCTTTCTTCAAGGGGCGGCACCAGGGTGCCGTTCAGTGGGTTACACGTGGTGACTGCCATGGTGTTCAGTGCTGTGCCGGCAGTGTGAGACAGACACTGTTGTCGTTTTGCACTTTGTCACAGGCTTTGGTTGCCGGGATAACCCTCACTGGCTGGGGGGGGGGGGAGGGAGGAGTGTACCGGGGAGACCTCCAGGCTAGTGGGCTGCAGTCAGCGTAGGGATCGGCTGCCTCCCCCATTGTAGCTGAGTAGGCCTCTTGTAGACCTCAGGTCTGTACCCGGGTAGGAGCCTCTGATTTCGGTCGGGGTGCTTGTCTTCGCAGTCTTGGGCTCCCTTCCCCAGGTCGCTTAGCTGTCGATTTAGGAGGATTGTGCCCAGATTTTGGCTGGATTTAAGCATTTTTGTACGGAGCTCTTGAATGTGCGACCGCTCAGTATGGCTGCCAGGCTCCACCCCCCCACATGAACTATTTAAATATAAAACAATTTATTATGAATAAAATCTAAAAAAAGTGTGAGAAATTAAGATATGTAATAATTTTTTTTTTGTTCTGAGAGTGTGTGTGTGTATATATATATATATATATATATATATATATATATATATATATATATACACACACACACACATATACACATATATATATATATACATACATATACATATATATACATACATACACACACACACACCACTTCTTTTCCAGGTAGGATTTTTTTTGTCACAGATCTTCTAGGATAATGAAAGTCCAGGACACATCCAGCTCTGTTTTTCAGATTTATTCGGTGAGAGAGAGATAGAGATATATATATATATATATATATATACACACACACACGTTTCAAAAACGAAAAATAAACAAAACAAAATTCCTTGCTCTTGCTTGAGCACTTACTATACACAGCAAATCCCTATCTGGAATTGCGTGGCTTTCCCACTTGCCAATTTACAAAAAGTATAACTGAAAGACACCATTCCTCTGGCTTTTCCTCCTCACTCTGCAGCATGCTGATTCCCTTCTTTTTAAAAGCCTGCTAGCTAATTGATCAGATACAGGTGAGGTGTAATTAGCCACAAGTGAAACTACTAAACAAAATAAAAGTTCTGGTCCGACTGTTACTTAGCAGCTGGAGCGTCCGCGATCTCTCTCTCTCTCTCTTGTTGTGGGGAAGGGCTTATGGAATTTTTAAAAACGACACCCCCCTTCCATAACCTACCGTGACTGGTCTTCCGAGATGCAGGCTGATGAGACTATCCAGTTCAAAGGTCATCAACACAAACGGCCTAAACTCCAAACAAGCTGGTCTTGGCCAACTGTGGCCCACGCAAGTATTTGTTTGCCTCACTCTAGTGAACAGCCGTCTTGCTAGAAGCTCATGGGGCACTGCCACGTCCAGCCCATCCACGGCTTCTATAACTTGTTTTTTTCAACAAAACTGTAAGTTTGTTTGTTCAGCCATTCGGATATGGCAAATTTTACCAGTAAAGCATATTCAGCCTATTTCAATCATACATAGCCTGCCTCATTCTGCTTACTGTATTTGGCAGCGATGACTCATTCTGCTTACTGTATCTTGGCAACACTAGGCCATAATCGATTTTTATCATATGCATTTTAGTTAGTCCCCCTGCAATTTAATGTTTCACTCTACATATTAAAGTTTTTTGTCTGTCCTGGGTATTCCTGCACTTTTTGAGCCTTCATTGTTTAGTAATTATGTGGCTAGGTTTTGCATCTGACTGACTAAATTTATGTCAGGCCCAAACATGTGGTAAAGGAAATAAAATATAAACTTGTATATACATTCTCTGTACACATCTTCTAAATGTCTTAAATCTTCTTACTAAATAACCTCAAAATTCATAAAACTGTATCATATGCATTTCAGTTAGTCACCCTATATTTTAAATGTTAGTCTGCCCTCTGAGTATGCAGGTACTCATTGGGCCAACATTGTTTGGTAATTCACTGTTTAGTAGATATGCCCCAAGGGACAGCTTGCATGCATTTAATGATGTAATTTTCATTGGTGTATAATCTAAAACAGCTAGCTAAACCTGCAGTTCTCTTGTCTGCTGCTTTTGCATTCCCTCACGTTTAAGCACCACCCAGACTTTCTTTGTACGGTCTACATGCATCAGGAACATCAGTCAGTCATGTTCAGTTTAAAGGAACACTATAGTCACCTAAATTACTTTAGCTAAATAAAGCAGTTTTAGTGTATAGATCATTCCCCTGCAATTTCACTGCTCAATTCACTGTCATTTAGGAGTTAAAGTGACACTATAGTCACCTGAACAACTTTAGCTTAATGAAGCAGTTTTGGTGTATAGAACATGCCCCTGCAGCCTCACTGTTCAATCCTCTGCCATTTAGGAGTTAAATCCCTTTGTTTATGAACCCTAGTCACACCTCCCTGCATGTGACTTGCACAGCCTTCCATAAACACTTCCTGTAAAAAGAGCCCTATTTAGGCTTTTATTGCAAGTTCTGTTTAAATACATAAAAGGGAATCAACACAGTAATTGAGGAGACTAAATTTAAAAGAAGAAAAACTACCACAACAAGAGGACATAGTCTTAAATTAGAGGGACAAAAGGTTTCAAAATAATATCAGGAAGTATTACTTTACTGAGAGGGTAGTGGATGCATGGAATAGCCTTCCAGCTGAAGTGGTAGAGGTTAACACAGTAAAGGAGTTTAAGCATGCGTGGGATAGGCATAAGGCTATCCTAACTATAAGATAAGGCCAGGGACTAATGAAAGTATTTAGAAAATTGGGCAGACTAGATGGGCCAAATGGTTCTAATCTGCCATCACATTCTATGTTTCTATGTTTAGGGGATACTGCAGATTTCAGTTACAGGTTACAACCATACCATACAAAACTAAACGAACTCCACGATGGCTACCCCGCAATATAGACTTTTTTGCTGGTATTTTCATATTCATGCCACCTGCTTTAGTCTAAGTTGCTCGTGTTACCCCTCAGTTGTTTGCAAGGTATATATTGGTTGTCACTTACATGTTTACAACAATTTCCTAAGCCCTTGTAAGGCTCCCGTGTCTGCCAGATTCCGCTATTTCAATGTACACGGTATTACTCCTCCAGGTTCTAAGGTATTTCAAGTTGTGCCCTTAATGGTCTCCCAGCAATTGCTGTCAACAAGTCTCTCCATTACTATTCACGTTACAGGTACATAATGTTGGTCATTATGTATTTGGTTGTGCTCACTACTTTGTTTTGCCACCTTAAAATTTAGGCTCACTATACCATCAAGTTACCCCTGACTGGCATCCAACATCACATGTTTCTCTACTTTCCAACAACACCAGTTTCCTTTCATCCTATCCAACCAGACTATACTTAAGGGGTGCTGCTGCTACCGCCAGGCACCTGTCGGGTCCAAAAGGTCTGTTCACTAACAGTAAGTTTTCCTGACAGGTGCCTCTTAGCATGCCATCAGGACCAGTAGCTCGGTACCCTTCCTACTCACCAGGTTCCCCAGCACCATGCTATCAATCCTTAGACCCCCACATACACATCCCCCCTGCCCACACACACAGGCTGGGTTCACCGTGTGTATTCAGTTTACACTTTTAAACTTGCCGCGTGTCAGCTTTCGTTTCACTGAAAGGGTTCGTTTGGCAGTTTTAACTACTCACAGTAACACTGCTCGCATTAATCTTGCCATTTCGTGCCGCGTTCGGCACTTTCATTTCGGCTCTTTATTTTAGCAGTCTAAAAAATAAAGGGTAAGGGCTTTTGCTTTCATTCCCCTCATTTTGGCTGAATTTCGGCCATTCGTATAAGAGACTGGCAGGTTAAGCGAATATCACCACCATGTGGCCTGTCAAAGTAATTATTTTGTTACGTACTACGCTTTATGTCTGGGTTAGGTTTGATTCCTGATTGAAGTATGGTTTTCTTCAGCCAGGAATATTTGGTTTCATGGGGTTCATTTTTCACTTTCTTGTTGTTTCAACCTTATTTAGTCCAACATTTCCTGAACTTGTTAGCCAAATCAGAAGTTCAAGTGTCTTTCGCATAGGTTTTAAAATCCTGTCTCTTACTGTATCAAGGTATGGCATTTTGGTCTCCAGCATATTCATGCCTAATACTCTGTCCCCCACTAGCAGGGTTGATGGCCATTATGGTCTCCTGTATGTACTATCACTTTAGCATTTTAGAGGTCTTAGCCTAGACTCCCGGTATAAAGTTAGGTAACGGTCATCAGGTACATATTGCATAAAGATAAGTTGTTTTCAATCTCTATATGTTCACCATGCTGACCTTTCAATCATCAGTTATATCGCAGGGTATGCTACGTCCAACCTTTATAATACCTATGTTAATCGCTCCTCCTTAACAACCAGTAACCCCCCCCAAATGTTCTACGACTTACAAAATCGCCCGCCCCTTCCACCCCCCACGATGTGTGTTACTCAGCATCTCATGACCACCCTGTACCTCAGGACTCAAATTTGGGCTCTTGGCATTATATGCATACTCCCTGCACAAGCCCTCCCCAGGCCTTTGCAACACTCTTCATACGTCCCCAGTAGGCCACTAAGTCCACTTCCAAACCCTCATCTGGAATTAAGTTAGATATCATCAGGGTGCAAGCGTAGACTGAAGTTCAGCTATCCCACAACTTACGACCTTTAATCAACCATGTCTTATGTTACACATCTGCTATTCCTTTTGCTACCAGCATACAAGCACCCTTCTAATCCACTCACAAACCTTCCCAAGTGGCATACACCTGGCCATACTCTCAAGAGGGTCCATTACCCCTTATTATGAATGTAACCCTTAAATTTCTTATTATGCCATTACGTTTCAGCACGTCAGTAGTTCGGTATAACCAGGCCACTAACGTTGTGACACATACGATCGTTACATCTCATACAGCCCATTATCCAGCAACTCAGCTCTGACGTGATTTCCAACTGGTCAGGTCCCCTGCGCCGCTTGCAGCGACCTTGCTTACCTCATCACAGCGAGTGGCATCATCTGTTCCCTGTCTCCAGACTGGCAGTGTGTCTGATGCTGCACGCTCCAGAGCAGCTTCCTTATGTGTGCAAGGGACATATGGACCTCTGTTACAAGACCTATTGGGTTCTAGGGTTAGGCATGCAGCTCTAGCAATACCAGATGGTATTTGCAGTGTTGCTTGTGGATTACGCCACATCCATTCACCGTTTCTCTGCTACACCAAATCATGCGCTATACCCTTTTCACAGGTCATGACTTTCAGAAATTAACTTCGACACCTGGCCTTTACCTCTATTACTCATCCTTCCCCTTTACTAGTAGAGTTATACTTAGTTTAGAAGTACCATTTACTATCCCCCGAAGCACACAAGAACACATGGCCCTACTTCCTTCCCTAAACGCTCAAATATCCCATGTTTTTCTGTAGCCTCCTCCAGCAGCCCAATTTGCAGTGTACCTAACTGGACTCATTTGAGAAAGGACTGCCTACCTACAGGCAGGGTCCGGTGCACCAGGCAGCATGGAGACCGTCTCTGGCGAAGGCATGTCATCACAGGTATCTTCAGAGTCTCCTTGATTCTCTGAACCTCGTCATACGCACCATACTGTGAGGTCGCGACTACATTATCGGACTACTCCACTAACTCCCTGGTCATCTGCCTACATTAACCTGCCATGCTCGTCACGCCTGTTTTAACTGGCCTGCCCAGATGGTAAAAAAAACTTTTCTTTCTTATAAGAATGGGAAGCTACGTCCATTTCCCATAGTCTTAATTCCATTCCAATTTAAATCCATAACTCCTCTCCTTACCTGCACATAGATATACATACACATACACTATTATTTTTTTTATTTACAAACATGTTTATTTTTTTATTTTACTGACGCAGGAAGACTGCCTGTCAGTTTAGGAAGTCCCCCTGCAGGCAGCACTATGGAGGCCTATTGCAGGCCATGTGACTGCTCTTTCAGAGCGATCACATGGCCCGTGGGGGCCTAATTTGCCGAGGAAGAACTGTCTAGGCTGTCAGACAGTCCCCCCCCCAGATAGGGAGCAATGCAGATTGCCAGCGGGGACATTCTATGCCACCTGCTGGTGTTTAGGTCGACATTCCCACTTACCCAATCCCTGCCGGCGATTGGCTTTGCTACTGGTCTGGGGGACTGCCTGACAGCTAAAGAGACACTATCGTCACAAGAACAACTACAGCTTAATGTAGTTGTTTTAGTGTCCATGCCATGTCCCTGCAGGCTTTTTGCAGTAAACACAGTCTTTTCAGAGAAACCCCTCCCCCCCCAAAAAATACAGTGTTTACATTGCAGATTAGGAACAAGTAGGAACTAGTATGTAAATATATGCACATTTTTTAGAATGTTTCAAGCACTTTAAGATCATACTACAGTGTTTTTACAATTCCCTTATTCATTCCCAGTTTATTGAATAACACAGTATAACTATTGCTGAGGCCTCTTAGGACTCCAGTATTAAACAGGTAAACAAGAACTAGCATTTTGCAAGGGACAAAACAAACATTTACATTACCTCTGTGAAACTGAAAAAGAGTCCAACTCCCCCAAGGATTTTAAGAGCTTCGTCTGCATGCTTCAGCATTTTATCACCACAGGTCACACATTTGTGTTGCTTTATGCATTCCTGCAAAGAAAAGGCAACAGCAGAATCAGCAAATGCAATAGTGTAGATTTTGTACATATCTGGAAACATGAATTCTATAGCTGCTCACTATTTTAAAGTGTCAGAGTGACTCCCTTATAATAGTAATTATTATAGACAGACCCCAGCAGTGGCGGTGAAGTGGTATTAGTTATGTGTCTTTTTTTTTTTTTTTTTTAGATGACTTGGAACACACCATTAAATTTACTAATAAAACTGAAGAAAAAAAAAACCTATATAGTATATCTCCCCCCTTTCTGCATATTTTCTTTTGGGGTATATGAAAATAAAACCTTTAAAAACCCTCCCCTTTGCAATCACCAATGGAGCTGCAAGCATGCAAATACGGTCACAGAGTTCCGATGCGTCTCAATGAGCTGTAGTACAGCTCAATGAAGGAGGGGGGAGGCCACGAAGTTAGCACCTGCCACTTCCATTATCTTTGTGGAGCTAGCAGAAACTGAAGAAAACCTCTCTGTCTGCCTGAGTAAAAGAAGGAGGTGTTTACGCCCACAAACATAAAAGTGCCAATTTCGATTGAAAATCTGCACTTTTATAAGCAGTCACAAATACGACAGATTAAAGACGAATAAAGCACTGTAGGAAGTGCTTTGTGTGTGGAGTTATCCATTAGAAAATAAAGTATAAATAAATAAAGTGAATAAAAAATAAATATAGTTCTACCAAAAGAAGTAAGTCTCTAACATTGGTGAAGCACTCACCGCTTTGCACATAGAGTAATCAGTGTTAAATTGTGTCCTGCTCTCTGTTGTGTTCAGCAGTCCGCAGCAGTTTAATGAGTTCTCCAAATCCATTCGCGTATCATTGCCCATTCGGGACCATGTTACATTGAAGAACTGTACCTACACATTTTAAGGTTTAAAAAAAAAAAAAAAAGATAAAGGAATTTAGCAATGCAATATGCATTGGACAGACCAGCTAGTCACATACACAAATGTGTTTTTCCCAGTTAACAAAATTAACTTTAATAGGACACATTATGTGCAAGAAGTCCTTTGTCCTTGTCTTCCTCAATCCAATTCATTATAACGGTCGTAATCGTTAAAGGGTGAAACTCAAAGTACCAGCTAAATTGTAACTTCTTACAGTGCTCAGAGAAACACTATACAGCAGTGGGTAGTTTCACTGGTAAAAAAAAAAATAAATAAAAAAAACCACTCTCTATATGAAACTATCAGTGATTGCACAACTACAGAATCCATAATATAGTGTTGGGCTGATATGACTCAAAGCACTAGGAGGAGAAACCACTTCCTAATACCTCTAGAATCTGTATATGTGTTGCACGTAAAGGACATTTAAAAGTACAGTAAAGGACTTCACATTGCAAAATAATTGAACTGTAGTCTTTGACATGGATACTGACGCTGCTGAAGCTGTGCTGATTGTTTATTTCTTTCAAATCTAACAAAAATAAAAATCTAAAATGTGACAAATCTCCATAAAACGTGTAGCTATAGGTTTGAAAAGGATGATAAAAGCACAAAAAAAAACCAAAAAACAACACAACACATCATGTTTGTTAATATACGTTAACTGCTAACTGTGAAAGCTTTGGCAGACAGAATCATTTCCTTACCACTTGTGTTGTATTAATTGCTAAACACGAGCAAGACACCACAAGTTGGAATATAAAGACCAGAATCAAAACCACCATATACTAAACCTCAGTTAAGGAAAAGAAAATAAACCTGCACACAGAAAAATATATTTAGAAGAATCTTCCCAGAAAATAATAGCTTACTAAAGATCGAATATCCTAGGACTCAAAGACCCCACTCAGCGTATTAAATCAGATGCTACTACAGGATGGAGTACGAGATCCTACCTTCAGTTTCCTCACTATATGTTTTTGGCCTAGAGGCTCTTTGACCTATTGTAGTAACCAATATTTTCAGGATGGATAAACAGATGTGCAAACCGCTCTATCCTGTCCCACAGCATACTTATATAGTGCCTGCCATGCGAGTCTACAGATTCTTGGTTCCTTTGCATTTTTTTAACAGAGTCTCAAATGACGCCATTACTAGCTACATTTATACAAAAACACAAGGTGCGATTTGGTAAGGTTAAAGAATTGTTTGCTGTTTACTTTTGCAGCAATCCTATTAATGGCTTTTCATGAATAAAACTACTGCTGCATCACATCTCAAAACACACTGAGTATATCAGGACAGCCAGACATGGTATTAGCCACTTCATGGTCTGGAGAAAACTCAATGCAGATTTCATAAAAATGTTGGTGAAATTCAACTACAGTCTGGAAAGTACCTATAATGTGCATAACCATGTGACTTGGCAAAAATATTTTGTATGCATAATTTTAAAAGGGCAGTGAATCCTGATCTTTCATATAAGACATGGTAGAAAATGTATTGTTTTTGCTTTGACGGATAAGAGCAATGCTAGGCAAAACAGCATAAAGCACTGCAAAGCATATACTTCAAACAATATATTGTTTCAAGAAAGGCAATACAATGTGTGAAGATACAGTATTTTTGGCCAGATAGAACCTGCCCGACATTTCAGTTCTGGACAGCCTATGTGTGTAGGACCTGTAGTATATGGTAGGTGACTTTCCTAAAAGTACAATACGTTACAAATCATTTAAGAGCTTGTGAGACCATAGAGCAAACTAGATTCTTTCATGACGGACAGATCTACTTCAACATGCTCTGGGTACATAATCAGGGGGAGATGGATACAAACATTTCTTAAAAGAACTCACAATTTAAACAATGTTTTGCTTTATAAACGAGGCTCAGAACACATGAGGATTTTTGAGAAGAAACTGTAGCTTTTTTCCACCCTCCCCACCAAACACTTGACAACCTTTGTCAGTACAAGTTATATGTTGCAAGTTTTGTTTCACTAGGACAAAGGATACAATAAAGAGCATCACTTGATGGTGACTAACGGCTCCGATTAAGCCAATAATTGCTATTATCAAAAGAAAAACTCCAATAGCGATGACTCCACCAATTATGTGAATGCTTGAGACTATTCCGAAACCTTTCCCCCATGCTGCCACGCCAATCAGCAGTAAGCCCACCAGCTGAAATGACAAAAAAAAATAAGAAAATAAAAAATTAATACAACAAATGACAATGAAAATAAAAATCTAAATTGTAACATGCAACCTATTCAGTTAGTCATTATTTCAACACATCACATAAAATGCAGACAAAATAACACTGAGAATTAATTCTAAGTTACTTACCTAATTTCCAGCGCTGAGACTCCTCCACTGAAGCCATTAACGCCACCTCAGTCTTTGCATGCCTGCCAATGTCTTCCACGATCTTGTCCAGTCCAATGCTTCTCATAGAGATGCATTAGGGACGAGGTACACATGCACAGCCAAAACGCTGCATCTTCCAAATCACATGCTGTTGTGAAAGCTTGAGGACTGCTAAAAAGGACTATTGCCTAGTGATTGAACCAGCAGGAAATCTACAGAAATTGCCAATGCAGTTATTCTCTACAAGAAACATTAAATCGAATGCATCTCCAAGAGATGCACTGGATGCAAACGGTCCTGTGATGGCATACTTAACTTGCTGATGCCAAAAGTCAGATTTAATAATGAAATGCATTTTAATCAGGAGCAAACGGAAGAGCTTTATATGTTTGGAGTGTTCCTTTAACTCCAAATAGTAAAACATGATCGATTATTTTAGCCACACAGAAACTCCACTTTTAACACTATAGAAAAACTGTCAATATTTAATTGAAATTACATATTATATTATTTCTGTATGTATTTAACACTATTACTAGCTTTTCACAGCACTATATTGTAAGGAACAATAGGTCCCCTTTTTTTCTCTGTCTATACTGCCTCGCTTAGCAAACTCATTAATTCATATGGATTCCACTACCACCTGTATGCCAACGACACCCAGATATACATCATCTCCCCTGACCTTTCGCCTGCTGTCCTACAATGTGTCACCAATTGCCTCTCTTCTATCTCTGATTAGATGTCCTCCTGCTTTCTGAAACTCAATCTCTAAAACTGTAACTCTCTCCTAACTGGTCTCCCCAGAAGCCATACTGCCCCCCTTTATTGTGGCCAGCCTAAGGCACACCTGTGCAATAATCATACTGTCTAATCAGCATCTTGATATGCCACACCTGTGAGGTGGATGGATTTTCTCGTCAAAGGAGAAGTGCTCACTAACACAGATTTAGACAGATCTGTGAACAATATGAGAGAAATAGGCCTTTTGTGTACATAAAAAAAAAAAAAAGTCTTAGAGCTTTGAGTTTGGCTCATGAAAAATGTGGCAAAAACTAAAAAGTGTTGCGTTTATAATTTTGTTCAGTGTATGTTACATTTTAGGCCATCTAACAGACTGAGAGATCAGAATATTTACTACTATATTCTAGTTTAGAAATCTATTGAAGAATCAGTGTTCCCTACTACTAATGAGGGACTTATCTATGCATAAAACACAAACAATGCTGCCAGTAAACAGTGTGTATACAAGGCTGTTTGTATTTGCTGTACTAGATGGAAAACACACAATCCGAGGTCATGTGTATGCAGTATCTGTTGGGTTCTGCTTTTTTAACTGCTGACATCTCTATGACCTATACCCTGGTGACTTGCTCTCTTTAATAGCAGTGGCAAATCTAATGGATTTGTATAATTTGCTATTACTATATAATTTTTTACAGCATATTTTTTATTTCTCAGCATATTTAGAATGTTGAAAGGACACTATAGTCACCAAAACAACTTTACCTTAATGAAGCAGTTTTGGTGTACATATCATGCGCCTGCAGTTTCACTGTTCAATTCTCTAATATTTATGTCACACCTCCCTGCATGTGACTTACACAGCCTTCCTAAACTCTTCCTGTAAAGGGAGATCTAATGTTTACACTTCCTTTACTGCAAATTCTGTTCAGTTTAGAATTTCTTACGTCCTGCACAGTTACAGTTAATAACTTGCAAGATCTTACAAAAGAATCATGTATGTGATTAACTTTCAATTTATAGACCAATAGATAAAAATCTGTAAAGCAAGTTAATGTTGGATTGAAAATAAAACCATTTTTTATTCATCCAGGGTGTTTCAGATTCCTGCAGCAGAAACCAGATTACTCTATAGTAATCAGGCTCTCCCAGTCCCCCCACTCCACCTCCTGCTTTGCTTATAATAATATCTACACATCTACTGCAACTAAAGATTTGATTTACTTATTAGTCCTGACTGCTAAATGCCTCAAATATCCAGGATTTCAATAAATGTTTGGAAGGCATATAATAAATCTTGCAAAGAGTGAATTATAGTTATAAAGTGAAACCATAGCACAATTTTGCCTGCTGAGACTACAATGTGTATAGCAATCACATAATTCAAAAGCATACTAAATATACCGGTTTGCAGAAAGTAGACTGCCTAGGGTTTTAAGGGCATCTTGGAAGTTTTCATTAAACCATTTTACCAAGAACCTGTGGATATATTTAATATTTTGTTTTTCACACGTTTAATTTTCACGTATAATTACAGTCTGTGTGTGCCCGACTACCTTAAAGAGGCCCATAATGGTATTCTGCTAATGCAGAACTACATGCAGTGTTTTAGATACGGTCACTTGCAATGTCTCTCGCACAGTATGTAGAATGGTTATGGCTTTCCATTCAGCATCACATGACGCATAGTCACACTTGCAATACCAAATCTTAGCCACCAGAGGAACACTTTGAATGGTTACACTTGCACTGTAAATAAAAGTTGCAGTCATGTGACCTAAAATACTAAAACAGAACAGGCAGGAAGTTACATTACTGAAAGTTATTCGAAGAGAGGTAGTGGGTTTTGATATGAACACTATCTCTGGGCGATTGGAGATATTCACAGAGTATACACTTTTCTAGCACAATATATCTGCTTCATGCATAATATCTTCTTCCTATTGTTTACAATCAATCCCTCTTTGCTTTTAAATTTAAAACCAGAAAAGCTACATGTATACCAAAAAGGAAACAATTCATGAACACTCAAGATTATTTGAATGTTTGTGATCACAAACAATAACCTGGGCTCTCATTCTCAAACGTATCAGTTTGCAGCCACTTGGATTATGAAGAAGACTCACATCAGCATTACCATTCTAAAACCATCTAACCTTGCATGGCAATATGGTTTTACAGTGTGAGCCTATCACTAGCTGCAAAGACTAAACTGTCCGTAAACTGCAGAAGCAGAATGTAAGGAAGCTGTGGTACAGCAGACTCCAGTGCGGGAGCCAAACTAGGGGGTAAAAAACTGTTAAAGGGACACTAGTCACCCAGACCACTTCAGCTCAATTAAGTGGTCTGGGTGCCAGGTCCCTCAGGTTTTAACCCTTCAGATGCAAACATAGTTTCAGAGAAACTGCTAAGTTTACATTGCAGGGTTAATCCAACCTCTAGTGGCTGTCTTCCTGACTGCCGCTAGAGGCACTTCTGCAACGCTGGATGCAAAATTTGCATCCAGCGTGCAGAACCTCCATATGAAAGCACTGAGAAATGCTTTCCTATGGACTGTTAGAATGCGCGCGCGGTTCTTGACGCGCACTCCGCTCCACTCGGGAGCTGACGTCGGCGGGGGAGGAGAGGTCACCAGCGCGGAGGGAGCCCGGCGCTGGATTAAGGTAAGCTGCTGAAGGGGTTTTAACCCCTTCAGCGCCACAGGAGGGGGACCCTTAGGGTGAGAGTCCCCCAAGGATGACAGGGTCAGGAAAACATTTTTTTTTTCCTGACACTATATAGTGATCCTTTAAGACTCCAGCTGGACACTCCTGTTTCTATTACAACTATATTGAGTTGTCGTCGTTATGGGAGTGATAGGATTCTTTAAAGAAAAATTATCCAAACTGCAGACTATTGTATAGAGTAGAGCAGTGAGTCTCAAGCCAGTCATCAATGCACACCAACAGTTAAGTATTTGTCAGGATCCCCATTGTTACAGAATTTAGACATGGACAAACCCACAAAACTTCATTATTTTAGACCTGGAAGGAAATTGTCTTTACTGTAAAGGGAAGAGGTTTTTTTTTTTTTTTTTTTATATAGTAAGAACGATAAGAATATGGAATGCCTTGCCTGAAAAGGTTGTTTTATCAGAATCTGCAGAGGATTTTAAAAGGTCTGTGTGATTTCATGGAAATAAAACATAACATTACAGGATACAAAAGTTAGAGGGTTATTACAAGCATCATAACTACTACAGCCTGATGTAGAGTTTACGATGTCAGGAGTACCCTAGCCTGGTAACAGGGCAAACTGTTTTGCAAACGATTGCCCTCTTATTTGGGTCTGATGCCGACTATTCATTGACTGACAATGAATGGAACTCATATGCACAGTGCTTTATAGCAAAATGCTGCATATTAACACTCCTGGGACTAGTACTGCTTCAAATCACTTATGTGGTCATAGTTTTTAGGGTTACCCTTTAAAGTGGATGGTAACTGTGTTGATCCAGGATTCCTGGGAAATAAATCCTGGGAAATAAAACAAACAGGTTTATTTCCTAAAGTGAAAATAAATTCTAACCGAATTTAAAATTTCACGCAAAAATTGCAGAATGGAAGTAAAGTTTATTTGGAGAATTATTCCGGTTTGACTACTTTGAATTCCTGAAAATGCTCTTTTTAAATGGATAACCCTGACTCACTGATTCCAGCTTTTAAGGACAATTTAATTTACTGCCTCTCACTGAGGAATCACGAATCAAAGTGAAATCATATCTGTATACTTTATGAAAACTGATTGTCTTAGTCATAAACAGTTACAAAGAATGTTGCAACAAAGCAAAAAAAAAAAAAAAAAATGACTGTATAACTAACAACTCACACAATGGTTTTGCTGCCTTTAATACTCATTTTCCTGGCACTATAGTGCCCTGAGGGTGCCCCCACTCTCAGGGTCCCCCTCCCGCCAGGCTGGATGGAGAAGAAGGGGTTAAACTTACCTCTTTCTCCAGCGCCAGGCGGGGAGCTCTCCTCCTCTTTGGCTGAATGCGCATGCGCGGCAAGAGCCTCGCGCGCATTCAGCCAATCCATAGGAAAGCATTCACAATGTTTTCCTATGGACGCTGGCGTCTTCTCACTGTGAAAATCACAGTGAGAAGCGCAGAAGCCCTCTAGCGGCTGTCAATGAGACAGCCACTAGACGCTGGATTAACCCATTTATAAACATAGCAGTTTCTCTGAAACTGCTATGTTTATAGAAAAAATGGTTAAACCTAGCTGGACCTGGCACCCAGACCACTTCATTAAGCTGAAGTGGTCTGGGTGCCTATAGTGGTCCTTTAAGGCTGGCTAAGTAACAAGGGCTTTGTAGTTCTACAAGAGTTAAAGGGGTCAACATTATTATGCCCCACAATACTTTAAATAATGTGTAGAGCTTTAAAGCTGGGAGTGACTGGCCTTTATAAACTGTCCAACAAAAACAGAATACCCTGCACTCAGGCCCTGCGCATATGCTCCGACCTTCCGCCAAGGAGACGATCAGTGTGTAGGATGGACAACGCTAAATCCACCAATGTAATATCAAAGAAGAGAAACACAGGCAGCACTCCAGGATACAGAAGGTGAATTTATTCGTGGGTTCACCACCTCACCAAAATAATTGCGACGTTTCGGCTCCTAATTCATGATGAAGGCTCTGAGGAGCTGAAACGTTGTGCTTATTTTGGTGAGGTGGTGAACCCACAAATAAATTCACCTTCTATAGCCTGGAGTGCTGTCTGCGTTATGATTTACAAAACAAACAGTGAATTACCAGGAATTCAAAAGTAAATTCCAAATTCTTTGGTAACACAGAAAGCCAGAATACACATTCAGCTATTGTGGCCTAATAAACTAAACTCACAATGAATAACCATTTGCATAGTAAGATTGTTACAATAAATAAAATAAATTACAACTACAGAAAGGAATAAAAAAAAAAAGGAGCACACAGATAGCCTCCCTACTGGGATGGCTGGCAGACAGGCAGGAGCAGGGTAGCAGGGCTTGCTGGGAGGGAATTAATTGGGTTATAATCTATGGCAGGGGTAGCCAACCTTCAGCACTCCATATGTGGACTACATCTCCCATAATGCTGCTACAGCCATCATGATAATGCTGGCAAGGCATCATGAGAGATGTAGTCCACAACATCTAGAGTACCAGAGGCTGCCTAGCCCTGCTCTAGAAAGGCACACTGCGGCCTCCAAATCAAATTCCCAGAATCCCACAGCAAGGCACCCCAGTCATGGCATGCTGGGAGTTGTAGTCCTGTGGCTGGGAGAGGCCTGCGTTGCTGGCCGGGGAGGCTGTGGCTCACACTCACCATGTACACCACGTTCAGCGCACACAGCGCGTTCTTGTAGCAGGTGAAGCCGCCGCACCCCATCCTCCTCTCTCCGTTTGGACCCCCCGATCTCACCGTCTGCGGGTACAGGGTTCGTCTCCTTCTTAAATTCCCACAACCACGTCTTCCTTTTTTTTTTTGTCTGTCGCTCTGGGCCCCGCTAGCCGGTGACGTCAGAGGACAGTGACGATTGGTCAGTCAGCAAAAAAAAAAAAAAAAGAGCGCATGCGCCATTGCTGCCCAAAATTGGCACTTACTTCTTTCCGTCTTCAGTGCGCTGGCTGGCTCGGGCGTGACGCTGGGCGCAGTGACGTCAGTGGAACGCAGGGGCAGAGGCGGCCATGTTTGTTGCTGCCAGTGCCACCCCCCCAAAAATGTCACACAGAGTCAGTGGCAGTGACTATCAGAGATCGAACTATTGCTGTGCTTAGGATACAAAAGAGAAAACGACGCTAAAATTATTCGCTTGCACTAGCATTACTTTGTTATTCACTAAAAAAAAAATAAAAAAAATTAGGCAAAATCAGCCAGCTTGGAGAAATAAGTCCCTTTGTTAATAATTCCCCATGAAACTAGTCTGGGTTACAAGGGAGAGAGAAAGGTCGTTATAAAGGGACCTCTCCCAACCTAGGGTTACTACCTTTAACTTGGAATTACATCCCCCAATGAAGGAGATAAGCACTTGTAATTTGTGGATATAGTTTGGGCTATACAAAGAAATACAAACTTGTGTTCCGGTCACTGTAGTGTTAAAACAATTGTTTAGGTTCCCAGCTCCCCTTGAAACTCTTAAAAAAAAGGTAATAAAGTTACCTTTACTCCAGTGACACAGAGGTCTGCCACATGGCATCCTTGGCTGAGATGATCTCAGACAATTCAATGCTTTCCTATCAGAAAGGATTGGGAGGTTGCTGCACATGTGGCAAAATGCTGTGCTAATCAGCGCTGTACTTGAATCAGTGCGTCTTTATGGTGAGATGCAAAACATGGATACGCTGAACATTGCACTGACATTGGCAGCACTTCTAGTAACTGTCCGTGCGACTAGAGGTGTTCCAAGGCAGTAATGTAAAGTGTTTACATTAAAATGCCTGGAGGGACATGCTATACACACACAAGAACATTAAACGTGCATTACAGGTGCATTTTTAAACATGCTTGCCCAGCATTTGGGCATTTCAGACCAAACATGAGCTCTTTAGCAATATCCAGTATACACGTGCTGATATAGAAATTTATGATGGATAAATCATCCAAGAGAGATAACCAGAGGCTCCTAATTATTAGATGTTAGAGCGCTCGAGAACTGATAATAAAACCACAGCCTTACTCAGTATGTAGTCCAACATTGTCTGAATTTTTAATGGGAGAGCATCGTGTATATATATATATATATATATATAAAATGGCAATTAGTCTACTGCGCATGTGTGCATAAAAAATAAATATAAGACCAAAGAAACAGTGACTTACTTGAAAGTGTTATCTACAAGGTTAAAGCAAATGTAACATTTCATAAGAAAGAGAACCAGCTGCAGAAACTGCTGACAAAAACTATTTAGCTTTAAACCCTTGCAGAAGTGGAAAAACTTAACTAAGGCAAAGGCTGTGACCCTTTATGTACCTTTTATCTCTGACATTGCCAAGAGTTGCCCTCCTCACAGGTGGGCATATCTTCTGTGATTTTAATTGCTCACTTACTGGCACAACATCTGCTCAACCCATTCCACTCCCAATTTCATACCTGTCATACAGAACTGCATACTGTTAGCACCCTAGCTATATTTTAGGCAGTGTACATTTTTAGCATAACAACAAAATATCTATGCAGGGAGTGAAAGAGGGAACTGTTTTAACCCTGACCAAGGCTCCAGGAGATTCAGTTATTCTCCAGTTCCTACACTGGTTTCTGGTTAGGTATCCCATCACTGTAACAACATCACATAAATTATAGCAGTGTTTCAGTCACTCAGAGGTGCGTCCTGGGTCAGTGCTACACACTGTTCAGCATCTCCATGCTCAGCATGGGTGCCCTAAAATGTGTTCTCATAACTATAGTATTCCTGTCATTATAGTGTTCCTTTAGGTTCGACTTGTCACACATCATTTACTTCTGTTAATCATCAAATGTGATTTGTATTTGTTAAATATATGGCCAAACATAATAGGGGTGCGTTTGTCAATAGGCAGCTGCCTACAGCTACTTGCAGACACTTATGTTAGTGGTGCATACATTAACAATACAAATGCATATATTATCTTGCATGCCACGCTTTATGTAGTGTAGGGTTGTGCTCTTTTGTACTGAAAAGGTAGAGATCTTGTTCTCTTGTAATCCATCCATTGCATCCAGTGAAGTAAAAAAAATAGTTTTCCAAACAGTAGGGGCACTTGCAGCTCTGTGGGTTTAAACTCTTAAAATGTAAATCTAGCTTTGCATAAGAATAACTAAATTATATCGTAGTCCACTCTGGAAAAAAATCTAATCTATAATCATTTACATTACTGCTTTTTAGAGTGCCTTCAATCACCTCAAAGTGTGCCATGAACACATTAGTATCTTGGTTGTAGCAGGCTGAATGGGAGTTACGGGCCTGGTGCCCAGGAGTTGTGGTAGTCTGAGCGCAGGACTTATTTTTGTGTACTTGTATTTACTTTTATATCACACAGCCATGTGTCGCCCATCCCATGTGTTCCCTATTAAAGGACCACTATAGCCACCCAGACCACTTCAGCTTAATGAAGTGGTCTGGGTGCCAGGTCCAGCTAGGGTTAACCCTTTTTTCTATAAACATAGCAGTTTCAGAGAAACTGCTATGTTTATATTAGGGTTAATCCAGCCTCTAGTGGCTGTCTCATTGACAGCCGTTAGAGGCGTTTGCGTGCTTCTCACTGTGATTTTCACAGTGAGAAGACGCCAGCGTCCATAGGAAAACATTGTGAATGCTTTCCTTTGAGACTGGCTGAATGCGTGCGCGGCTCTTGCCGCACATGTGCATTCAGCCGAGGAGGAGGAGAGTCCCCCGCCCGACGCTGGAGAAAGAGGTAAGTTTAACCCCTTCCTCACCCTAGAGCCTGGCAGGAGGGGGACCCTGAGGGTGGGGGCACCATCAGGGCACTATAGTGCCAGGAAAACTAGTATGTTTTCCTGGCACTATAGTGGTCCTTTAACCCCTTAAGGACACATGACATGTGTGACATGCCATGATTCCCTTTTATTCCAGAAGTTTGGTCCTTAAGGGGTTAAAGATGAATAAGTATGTAGGGATTTAGAATAATACCCCTCTCTGTCTCATTAGACATTGTTTTACCTGAAGACGGAGGAAGCAAGGTGAATAGTTAGTGAACCCCACCTAGGAGGTCTGCCTTGACATGGCAATTGGGCTAACACCTAATAGCCATTGGAGTGTCACTAAAAATCTCCAGTTATTTAAATATGCATATGGATTTGGGAAAGTGTACAAGTAACTCTTTTCTTTGCTTTTTATTGTATGTATTGGGGCTCATGTGTGATATGGTCATTGCTGCCACCCAGGAGTAGTAGGAGTCTGAGCACAGGACTTATTTTTGTATAGTGGTTTTAATAGGTGTTTGGCATTCCTATCTGGCTTAAAATTTGAACTAACATGTCAGTTTTACTATAAATATGCATAACTTTCAGGTAAGGATTCAGCATTTATAAAGTAGATGATGGAGATTTAAAAAAAAGGCACAATGAGGTGTGCCTTGGTCTAAATAAGAATTGTAAGTTGTAGTTTCCAGTATTTTCACCAGGTGGCAGCATTTCATTTGATACATACGAAATAAACATAAAAACATAGAAACATAGACTGTGACGGCAGATAAGAACCATTCGGACCATCTAGTCTGCCCAATGTTTATACATGCAATTTAAGGCCCAAGAGCTGACTTTGATATTTTATTGTTTGACTAAATGTAAATTTTAAATCTACTTTGAGTTCCCAATAATTCTCACTTTAGTGAAAATCCCTGTCAATGCTTGGTAGTTCTAATTGTTAGCTTAAAAGATTAGTCCAAGCTAATGATTCCAAGAACAGTTATTTGAAGTGGTCATGGTACCAGGATTCTGTATATTGGAAGGCATGGCCTGAAGTTGTGGGAGGGGCTATAGACCTACTTAAGGGACTCCCCCCTTCCCTTACTTACCTTCGTTGGTCTAGACGAACAGGCCGATACTCGCCGGTAGAGATGTCGCGAACTGTCCGCCGAACTGTTCGCGAACTGTCCGCTGGCGAACAATAGCATGTTCGCGTTGGGCGAACATATCCGATTTCCGGACCGCCCCCTATACGTCATCATTGAGTAAACTTTGACCCGGAACCTCATAGTCAGCAGACACTTCCTGGAGGGAGGGTCTGCTGCTGATTGGGTGGAATGTGTCTGCTAGCTGTGAGGTTCCGGGTCAAAGTTTACTCAATGATGACGTATAGGGGCGGACTGGAAATCGGATATGTTCGCCCAATGCGAACATGCTATTGTTCGCCGGCGGACAGTTCGCGAACAGTTCGGCGGACAGTTCGCAACATCTCTAATCGCTGGCATCCGTTGCTCCCGACTTCCTGGTTCGTGACGTCACTTCCGGTGAGACGCAGCGCATTCCTCCTACGTCACACGCTGAGTGCCGCCGGCTCCACAGCCCGACCGGCTCTCCTGCCCGGCCCGACCGGCACTTTCAGCCCGGCACCACCGGCCCCAGAACCGGACCGGCTATCCAACCCGGCCCTACCTTCTCTCCGGCCACCAACCCGACCGGCCTCTCCCCCACCAGATCATTGGTGCGGTAAGCATGGCTCCTACTGGGAAATAGCACAGCTGGCCCGGGTGCAGGTACAGAGACTCCATTACCGTCAGGAGTCCCTGTTCCCGGCTGCCGGCTATACCCAGTCTTAAGGGGGAAGGTAATGATGGTTTGAAGGAGAGGGGGGGAACAATACACAATGGCACGGGCGGGAACAGGTCTCACAGACCCCTATATCGTAATGGATCCCTGTTCCCGCCGGCAACACACCGGGTAGGGGGCAAATAGTTGTGTTCACTGTAAGACCCAGTCTACCTGACTTGCACAATTTAAAGGGGGACATGGTACGTTTCTGTTGCTGGCTGACCCTTAGTTCAGCCAGTTGCAGCCTTCATGATTATAATAACATACATTCCCATTTCAATACTTTTACGGTTCAATACTTTGCTGTTAT